AAAAGGATGAAGGATAAAGTCTTCCGCGTTGATCAGTCTCTTTCTGGGATGCGGCACTCCGCTTCCAATCAGAATCGTGGTGGCTCGTTGAATGCGATGAGGCCCATACAATGCGGGTCCTACCGATGTTTAAGTCTTGATTGGCCTAGGCGTGAGCCGGTCCGGGGCTAGAGTTCCAAACCGCGAGCGTTACAAGTGTGCTGCTTGCCATTACACCTTTTCCGGCTCAGGGTATCCAGTACTGGGGCTTGTTTCATATTGACCCTCTTCTGGACCTTGTAGTATTGTTCTGTATGATGTGTAATTTCATACAGTCCCACATTCAGAGTCAAATCAGAAAAGACACGTCGTGAGCTTGCCGAACAAGTGGAGACTTACAAACTCGAGTTGGAGGAAACCCAAGATAAAAGCGCTTCACACCATGCAATGAGAACAAAGCGAGAGGAAGAGTACAGCTTGCTGCAGGTTAGACTCGGCCTTTCATTACTCTTTCACAGATTCCTCGCACAGATTTTTGGAAATGGAAGTAGTTGTTTCGGCAAAATGCTAACTATTCCACAATATATTCGATCTTTACAGAACCAGTTGTCTGAGAGCATGCGTGAGTTTGATGAGAGATACGAAGCCTTGCGGGCTAAACACGCGAAGCAGCTGGAGGAAATGGGGGAAGAGATGGATCAGATGAAACGAGCCAAGACCGCGGTTGGTTTCTATTGAGTTTCTGCCTTCCTTTTGTACCAGTCGCTTCGTAATTGCACCGATTTAGTCAGACAAGGCTCGAGCTCAGCTTGAAAACGATCTAATCAACGCCCAAGCTGAGCTGACTACGCTTCAGTCATTTCGAAGTGAAAGCGAACGAAAGAGAAAGGTGATTTTCTATGAGTTTGGAAAATTTCGGTTTTTTTTATTCCGGATGTCGTTTTCATCTGAATATGAGTTTAGACAGCTGAAACGCAGCTTGCTGACCAAGCACTTCGGTTACAGCAGTACGCTGAAGAAAATGAACAACTCGTTGCTAAAGTTACAAAGGTAAGGAGCAGAGTGGTATGCTGAAACAGGACTACTGATACTCGTTTCATTTAGTTAGCCAGCGATCTGGATGCTGCTATGAAAGGCCGAGAGAAGGATGCAGAAACCAGTGGTAGCTTGTTGAAGAAGATTGCCAATCTTGAAATGGAGATCTCTGAAATGACTGAGGTCAGTCTATCAACCTTCCCCTATGAATTGTGATTCTGACGATGATGTAACATCGTAAGCCGCGGATGCTCTTGCTGCACATTCGAGCCGCAGTGTAGGCAGGAAAAGAGGCGTCACAAGCGTTGTCGTTTGTGTCAGGGCCCAGCTCACTCGATGTGGTAATGTTGCGGCGCTTGAAGACGTTTAGCTTAAAAATACTTCGAGTTCGCGCACGATGCTGAGCTCGAAAGAACATCACCTACTTTTGCGCCCAGCTACAAAACGAACGAATACCACGTTAAATCATGCCGGGAAAACACCACGTCTCCTTGCTGTGTGAATCACTTCCTTACAGAATGCGGGAAACTCTGCTCTGCCCATAAAATTTAGCGTATACGACTTTACGAGGCATTCTTGACAGATAACGGATTTTGGGATTACACATTACTGTATTTACCAAAATCGACTGCCTTCCCCCCCCACAAATCCTGTGGGCCACATAGACAACGTCAAATAGGCCGTGTAGATTCTGAAATTGGGAAGTGGAATGCGCGCCACATCCCACAAACTATTATATTTAGCCAACGCGCGAACACATTATTCTTTATCCTTTTGATTTACTCGACCGCGGATCCGTTAAATGTGCGCCGTGATCATAAATGTGCTGTTTGATGGGAAAAAGGATAAAACTCTCGCTGCTGATCATTCACTTTTGGGATGCAGCACCCGTTTCTGTTCCTTTCAAAATCGTAGCAGCTTACTAAATGGGGATGAGCCTTTACAATGACTCGCACGGGCCAACCGATGTACAAATCACTCCCTTCATCCTCCTGGACGAATATTGTAGAAAGCCCAGTTTTGGGAGTTGAAGGCTCTGTTGGTGTGGGCGGAACCCGATCCCGGATTTGTCTCCCAGACCGCGAACTTGGTAAGCGGGGGACAAATCCGGGATCGGACTCCCGCCCTCACCAATCGCTTGGAAAGCGGGCCAATTGCCACTACACCATCCACGCCGTCTGACGGAATGAAGCTGTCTTAAGCAACGTGCAAATATTCCTTTCCAGGCAGCGGAAGAAGCCACGAGGAACCGCTCAAATCTCACGATGAAGGTAAGGAAAGCAGAAGATGAAGCAGCAGAGTTGCGAGATGCTCAGGATGAATTAAAACAACTCCTGGAAAAATCACAGAAGGTATCAGGGCCTCTTATCTTTCATGCTTTATTACGTTTTCCTTCATTCGTTTCTGATATCCTTGCAGGAGGTGGCATCGTTGAAGTCGCAGATGTCAGATGCGCGGAAACGATTCGATGAAGAGGTTTCCGATGCGGTTCGCAGAAGTACAGCGAAAGCTATCACGTGATTTGGCGACAGCTGAGAGCCGGGTCAGCGAAGCTGAAGCGGCTCGTGACAAGGCTGAACGCGCCAAAACGAAAGCGCAACAAGAGGTTTGGTGTTTTCTATAAGCTGAAAGGTAGACTGGACGCATGGGCTCTATTTTTGCTTAAGGCTGAAGACGCATGCCGTGAAATCACCGAAATCACTGCTTCTGTAAGAGAATACGAGCGTAAGCAAAGGAAGTTCGATCAGCTATTGGCTGAAGAAAAAGCGACAACGGCAAAAGCCATGGCTGATCGAGATCTTGCTCAACAACAGGTTAGATCTGTCGGATAGAGCTAATTCATGTTCTAATAAGTTTTAGCACTAATAAAGCACGGATGCTTTAGGCCCGGGATGCAGAAACGCGTTACTTGAACACGGTTAAAGAACTGAAAGACCTTCAAGGCCAGATTGAGGGTATTGAAAAAGAGCGGCGAATGCTACGCCTAGAAGTCGATAATTTGGTCAGTTTCCTCAGTAATAATATTACATGTATAGAAAAGTGGGTGTATAATTCATATGTAATACAGGCGTCGACAAAGGATGACGCAGGAAAAAGCGTATTCGAACTGGAGAAGGCGAAAAAACGTCTCGAGGAAGAGCTAGTAGAAGCCAGAGAACAGGTACCGCTTGGCAGCTTTCCAGTCGCTTCGTCGTGCTCTTATCGGGGGCTTACTGCTTCTTTCGATTACAGATTGCCGAATTAGAAGACGCGCTACAAATGGCTGATGACGCAAAAACCAGAAGTGACGTGATGCACCAGGCAGCTAAGCAGGAGTGGGAAAGACAGCTGTCGCAAAGGAATGACGAGGAGGAGGATCAGCGTCGTTCTCTTTCTAAACGAGTATGACTTTCTAAGTAGACTTTCCCGCAGCTGTATATTGGCTCCAGTCGCAGGGATTTGGGAGACTTTCATACAGTGGTAGATTGGATAGGGAAGGGAGGAGGGGATGAACAGAAGAGGAGTTTTTGGAAACGTCATACTGACACCGCCAATCCATACATCACGGTGCCCAAATCACATATTTTTAGCTGCGCGAACTAGAAGAAGAGCTGAATGCGGAACAGCGAGTCAAAGCCCAAGCTGCA